TTGCAAGATCGGTACAAAATAATGAGAATAAAACGGAATAAAGGACAGGAAACAAAAAACCATATAAATATATTTAAGCTTGTCCTCACGATGCGCATGTCTTCCTCATCATATATTTCCGTTGTAGATCGATCAATTACAAAGACTTGCGATATTTTAGAGATCGGTTCAAGATAGTTCTTCTCCAATAAAGATGTATAACTTGTGATGAATTTATCAGTAAGATTATGAGCATTTGTCTGCCAAGGCTGAAATTAAAAAACAGAGAGATGACGAAAAGAGGCCAAAATATGGATTGAAGCAAAAAACAAATGAGCCGCAGATAATGACAACTTACGACATTTCTTTTCTTTATTTCTTCCCTAATCATGCTCAAAGGTGTTCGCAAATAGACGACGACATGAGGACGCCAAATACTTCGGACAGTGGAAGCATGATTATACATGAACCAATCAAGGGCTGTTCAAAAAAATATTTATATGCATCTATTTATGAAATGGAAGTAAGAAAAGTAAAACCCCATATCGTTATACCTACCATAATCGGAAAGTAATCCACAATGGTTTAAGGCCTGCGCGAAAACGAAATCAGAGAACGGACTACGTTCTAGGACTGAGCCTTGACCTTTTAAGGCAGAATGAATGCAAAACCAATATCATACCAGTGTTGAAGAGCATACATTTCGCTTTAGTGTAGCTAAAGTAGCGTCGTGCGAAATATTGAATTTGAAGATAGAGAGGCTTGCCATTTTTAATTGGGTCTTTATCGTTCCAAAACATCGAGGTCGTGTAATATTTGGCAAAGTCAGGCAAGGCGTGGTTATGAGATCTAAGGTCAAAGTCGCCCTGGGGTAGCTTAAATGTGTAGATATCATCATCTGTGCAGTCACTGAAATAGTACATTCCAAAAGCCTCAGCCAACTTTTGCGCAACATGACCTTTCCCAGTGCATACGTTTCCTTCAACAACGATTATTTTCGAATTTTCTGAAAAACGTTTACTGGTGTTATCCCAGGACTGATAAAAGGGATACCCATATCTAACGAAGTTAAACTTAGTAGGAGCAATATACTCTATTTCTTTTGTTTCTACTAGTTTAAGGCCTCTTCTTTGGGAAATCAATAAAGGT